CCTCAAACTCCTGGGCGCAAGTGACCCTCCTATCTCAACCTCCTGAGTAGCTGGGACTATAGGTGCATGCCACCATATCTGGCTAATTTTTCCATTTTTTGTAGAAACAGAATCTCCCTCTTGCTCAGGCTGGTCTTGAACTCCTGGTCTCAAGCAATTTTCCTGCCTCAGCCTCCCAAAGTGCTAGGATTATAGGCATGAGCCGCCATGCCCAACCTGTTTATCTTAGGGGTAATAATAGTACCTACTTTACAGAATCGTTCTGAATATTAAATGAGTTGATATGTGTGGTACACATAGAAAAGTCCCTGGCATATACTAAGCATGTAATATTTATGCATTGGTATTGTTGCTTAGAGACTATCAGGGAATCCACTAAACTAGCATTATTACCATCTTAATCACCATTGTCATTGCCATCTACATATACTTATGTTACCACATATACATGCTTTCTGCATAAGATTTACAAAAATGGATGTGATATGTTCCTGGACTCAAGAAACCTACACTCTAGTTAAGAGAAAGATTAAAAGAAAATTGCAGTAGAAGGTAGCATATGCTAAGTGCCAGATAAGCAATAGAAATAGTGTGTCCTACGGGACTGTAGGAAAGACAGCAATTATTATGGGCTCTTAAAGGGAAAGCTTCACAAAGGAAAATGGACCCTTAAGTGGGAGGGCATTCCGCTGGAAGAACAACGTAAATAAAGATATGGAGGCTGGAAAGTATATGTGAAGTTCCAGAATGGAGAATGTAAATAGAGGAAGAGTGAGGGGTGGGTTAAAGAGGAGGCCCCAGAATACTAGTTAAATTATTCAATAGGCAGTGGTCTGCTGTGACCAGGTTCTGGGCTAGAGTAGTCAAATAAAATTTCTCTCATTCATCTGAGGCCTACTACTTCATATATTGCCTTTTTTCAGATCCCCATAATTGTCATTTAGCTGATTACTTTCTAACTGGTGGTGCTGTTACTTGTAATCTCCAACTTTCTACTCCCCTCTGCACATTTTTCTCATGTTAATTTTTCTCAAGCACCGTTTTTTTATTGATTTGCTTAGAAAGTTCTTATAGGTCTCCATTATACAGAATAGTGTTTCTCAAACATTAGTGTACATAAGAATTACTGGGAGTTTGTTTTAATGCAGATCTCTAGGTCTTACCTTCAGGTCAGATGCTTCTGGCATAGAGCTGGAGAATCTCTGTTTTAACAAGTTCCATAGGTGATTCTGATTTAGTTGCTCAAGAGGCATTGTTTTGAGGAAGACTGGCATAAAACAAAGAGTTAAAGTTATTTAACCTGCCACCAAGAATCTTGCTTTATCCTGCCTTTCCAACTTTATCTTCCACTACTCCCATTAATACACACTTTTAGCCAAATGGAACATTTTCTTTTCCATATACTTCCCGATGCTCTTTGTCTTTTGTCTCCTCCTTTTTTGTGTGTGTGTTTCTCTCAGCCTCATTGTCTCCACTGCCATTGCAAGTCCAAATCCTGGCTTCTTTCTGCCTTGGTTCAGATACGTCCAGAAAGCATCTTTAGTAAATGAGTATGTCTCTAACCTAGAAGGCAGGCTCCAAGTTTAACTGATCCTTGTATCTACTCCCCTACCCAAGGACCTAATGAGCACCTTACAAACGATTTGGTTCATTTGTTCCTTCCTTAACTCATCCATTAAATATTTATTTAGTGCCTACTATGTACCAGTGCACTGTTCTAGGTGCTAGTAAAAAAGTAGGAGAAAGAAAAAACACTCCAAAACTATTTTCATGGACAAATGAAAGTAGATAGTGAAAGTGTTTTGGGGTGAGTAATCTGGCAGTGCTATTTGGTATATATTAGGAAAAGGAGAGACCAGTGAAATTAATTAAGGAACTCTTGCAAGTGGCCTTTGTACAGTGGGAAGGGCCAGTGAGAATAGAAAATACAAAGGAAATAGCAAGAGTAATTAATGAAATGAAAGTATGACCAGCATTACTTAACGGGGGCCACAAAGATAATTTGATAGCTGATCCTTTTGAGAAGAAAAAAAAGTTAAGATGAAGAGGTGGTATTTTGGGGAAAAGACATTTAAAAATGTTATATTTTTTTTTAGATATGTTTTGGTGCTGATAATGGGACATCCAAGTAGAAATGCTCAATAGCAGTTAGAAATATGGAGGTCTTGTAAGAGCCCAGGCCACTCTCCCTATCTTCTTCAACTCACCTCAAAAATATTTTCTCCATCTTGCTGTTGCAAGTCCAAAATTTCTTCCCCCAAAATATTTTATGTCTCATTCAATTGATTTTTCTGGGGATTGTGACATCATTGCATGTCATAGCCCCTTTTCTCTGATCTTCAAGTGTTTGTCTATAATGAAACCGACGCCCAACCCTAGAAAACTATCTCTAATCACAGCCTTATCTTGAATGGTTCTTAGCTGATTAAGAGTTTGGCTTGTTGGAGGAACTAGGAAGATGACAGAACTGAACTAGAGAGTCCTTTAAAATTGGATTGAGTGTCATGTACTTATGTGAAGATCCCTGGTCATTTGTGATTCTTAGCAAGACAGGCAAAGTTTGGAGAGGCAGATTGTCAAAGCCTTGGCATAACACAAAGACAGGTTGTAAAGCTGCTTACAACATCCTGGAAAATTATCTTTTTCATTCTTGTACTTGCTCAGACTAAAAAATTCAAATCGTTCCTGACTTCTTTCTTTCATAATACCAAACATCCAATCCATCAGCAAATATGGGGTGTGTGTGTGTGTTTTATAAATACATATATGTATTTTATTTTCTGACTTTGCCCTAGATTGTAAACTTCACGAAGGCAATAGTTTTGTTTCTGCTCTCTCCAGCCTGTGCCTAGAACATAGGAGATGCTCAATAACAATTTGTTGCATGAACGAATGAATAATGTGAAGTTAAATTTCATTCCACATTTTGCTCATTACTTTTGACACTGGCTCTATCTTCAAGAAGGTCAGGAAATATTTTATCCCAGTAAATTATTATGGCT